GTTATAGAAACTCATCTTTGCCTTTTCTGAAGAAGGAAACATTGTTCGATTTTGATGCATATATAATGTGCCTTTAACACTATGTACGTGACATATATACAAAATGTAGTTTATTTTATTAACATATGTATTTATTAACACTATGTACATTAAAGTCCATGTAAACAAATTTTGTTAAGTATGTTAAAAATTAAGAGCAATTTACCATGGTCAAATTCCTAAATTTCTACTCAAAATCTTTACTAGTTTATAATGCATCATTAAAAGATCTATACATATGTACATTTTAGATGTACCTGTACTTTAACCCATTCCGCGATATACGAGTAGTCGCCTTTTAACGCATTTTTTACCCCTTTTTTGTTGTCTCAATTGGTGAAAAAATTTATTTAGGCCCCGAACACTTGTTTTTGTTTGAGAAATGTTGAACTTTCTAAAACTATTTTTCGTCCATTTGCTGTTTTCGTTGTAGATTTTTAAAATTATAATTACTAATTTATTTATTCCTTTATTTATTTGGTTTGTTTTATGTTTATTACTTTTTCTTTTCTGACGTGAGGGAAGAAAATTTCAGTTTAAAACATATTTTTACATGTAACAGACAAAGGATTTCGTGTCATTTCTTTTTAAGTCGCATGCACAGAAATTGACAAACAAGAAAACGGATAAGGCAAATTGCTCTTCCTTATGACATTTGAGCCGTGTCATGACAAAACCAACATATAGGGTTTGCGACCAGCATGGATCCAGACCAGCCTGCGCATCTGCGCAGTCTGATCAGGATACATGCTGTTCGCTTACAGACCCTATAACAAATAAAGAAACTGCTAGTGAACAGCATGGATCCTGATCAGACTGCGCGGATGCGCAGGCTGGTCTGGATCCATGCTGGTCGCAAACGCATTACGTTGGTTTTGTCATGACACGGCTCATTTTATTGCGTTCAATTTTCAATACGTGACCTGATTACATTTTATTCCATTTTGTTCATGAAACAAACTCTGTATAATTGGTAATTAGAATTCTTCTGATTATGATAAGATAACAACAGTTTGTCATGACAGTGGGTTGCTTCATTCAAATAAAAAAGTTTTCTAAGTTCCTATGAATGGAAATTTTAGTTTTTAGTCTTTACAGCATCGTACCAGTATTATTTAAATAATTTTTAAAAAAAATACAGCATTGATGTAGTTAAGACAGATTCGTTCATAATATTTATTTATTAGAATACAGTGTGTCAACCCGTACGATTCTTTGTTAAAGGCACATGATGCCTAAGAATAAAACATATTTTTAAATTCTTTAGAGACATTGACATTTGTTTCGTGTGAATGGACGGCCTATTTGGAAATATGAACGTTAAACACTAGTTATACTTTCAGAACTTACGATGTGCTTAACACCAGTGAACTAGATACATGTATACATCAATCTTGTAAATTAATAATTCAACATTTAAACAAGTTCATTTCACTTTTGTGTACTATAACGCTCATGAGTTGTTGTTGTTGTTGTTGTTGTTGTTGTTATTGATGATGATGATAATGGTGGTGGTGGTGATGATGATGATTTATTTTATTTTTTTATTTATTTATTTATTTATTTCATTTTCATTGCAATCTATTTTTGGCCCATGTGAAAGGAGGAAAATTCAAATTGAGAATTACCTTCTTAACGGACAGAGCATTTTAGGTCACTTCATGTCATTTGTATAGTTGTTCTTTTAGTCAGATAAAAATTACAAACAACACGGAAAGTGAAGCGAATTTCTCTTCTTTATGACGTTTTTATTGCGTTCGATTTCCCGTGTGTGACCTAATTACATTTTACTCCCAATTTCGTGGTTTTCCTTATAATTAGCAATTAGAATTCTTCTCTGATTAGGATAAAAAATAACAATGGTTTTACATGCTAGTGTGTTGTTTAACTCAAATAAAAAAAGGTCAGTTTTCCATGTTCCTTTCAATGAAAATATTACTGTCAATGTCTTTAAAGAGAATTTCTGTTTCCGATTAAGAAAAAAATTATAAAGACCTGCTAAAAATATGATAACAGCACGTTTAAATAATGATACCCAACATAATGTCAACAAATATTAACACAAATAATGGTATTCAATCCGAAAAGGAATCTTCGCATGATCATAAAATTAAATTATTAACATTGGAACACAAATCATCTCAACTATTCTGAATTAACTATACACGGTTCGAAATATATAACAATTAAAAATATATTTTAATACAATTTCTAAGACAGAAGAATTAAACAACTAATGTTTCATGACGTATGATATATATTTGCCTTAAGTTCAAGAAAGGAACTAGTTTACTGTAAAATAGTCCTACGGGCATGTCTGGGTCTCATTGTACTTTCAGTAAAAAACAATCGCATATTGCATAAATAATGCAATGATTTTAACTGTACGCTTTCTTCCCCACGCTTTGTTATAACTGACTTAAAGAACACTCGACTACTTTAAGAAGAAAGGCAAACCTATGAATAAAAACAGGACGAAATAAAATATGACCTGTAATATTTCAGGCACGAGCAGGCATCCGTGCAGAACCAGCGACGTTCTGGAGGGAAGCATCCAGTCTTCTCAGTCAGGTGAGCCGTTTTAAAATACATGTAGTATTCTCAATGCAAAGATATAGAGAACATGATTATTGCAAAAGTTTGAAAACAATGTATAATTTTCTGTCATAATTTATTATAAACAGGGTTCAAAGAATAGCACATTGCTTTATTCATACTATCACAAAATTATATGAATATAATTAACTTTTATTGCCATGTATGTCAATAACTTAAGGCGCGTTCGTGGCATAGCAGATGGGTTTCTTACTTACAACCGCTTGCTCCTCACCGCTGTACAATGAAATCCTTCCAGGGATTTTGGATCATATTACTTATGGAAGATATCCATCTAGCTAACAAAACATTGGTCGTTATACTCAGCTTGCGGTCGTAATAATGCCCACCAGTAAAAGTGTAAGTGAAAAATATCACCGTATGGCATTTGCAGTGCCAATGTGATTTTTCAATCTTCTTTTTTATGACCATTATACGTTGTAAATTGCATTATAAACTATAGCGAAAATACACACATTACCTTGATACAATGTCGAAGGCAAATTAAACCTTCCTTAATTCTATATTCTTTTTGTATAAATCATTATCATTGAATACAAGTTTAGACATTTTATTACATTCATATTCTGATTAGCACCTGGTCTTGAAAAAATGAGAATCCAGAATATGTATTTGTGAAATAGACAACGTATTATATGTTGTTGTTTTTTTTACAGAATAAGCAATTTTCCAGCTCAGTAGTGGAGGAAGACCTCAGGTGTCAACACGTCCATCATTTCAGTTACAAAAGAACACCCAAAATGGACGCCAAAGTAGAACCGTCGACCTCCCGTAGGCTAGTAACATATCATCTTCACATGAAATAATTCAAAATCCCTTGCAGGACTTGAACCCGCAACGATGAGGGACAACTGGTTTGAAGGCAACGACCTTAACCCTCTGAAACGTTTCGGCAATGTAGCGATTTCATATCAAATATTTTTAAAACACTGTACATACCACTCGACTCTCATTGTGATTTAGACCAATCACTATAAAACACTCAAATAGGTTTTGAATTTCAAGACAAATAATATTTTGTAGATAAACGTTTTGAATTTCAAGATTCATCCTAGGGGAAGGAACTCGTACATGTCTCCGCATTCAGTATTGTACTAGTTAACTCCCCTGGACTGATTATTCTTTAATTTTATAAGGACTTTAAACAGTTGTTCTCATGTCTATAATTTCCACAATTGCCCCCCAACTGTCACGTGTTATTTACATAAAATACCACATCAAAACTATAGTTTTTCTTTCAATTGTTTTCGAAATGGTATTCATTAAATACTTTCCATTAAAGTGAACTTTACTATTCCAATTTGAAAGGCATTAAATTTTTCTATTTCAGAAACCAATAACAAGAGGCTAATGATGGCCCTGGGATGCTCACCTGAGGAAAAGGTAAAGCAAGCAATGAAGTGGCATTGTTAGAAATCTAATTTAATTGATTGTTTTACTATGTCCTTCCACAAGAGAGTTCTTAAATGTATTGTCCTATTCAAGTCTATATAAACTCAGTAACCACGAGGTGGTGCCAATATTGCCCCTGGGACATGATTTATTTGTGTACCTCTGTTAGAAACTTATATTATGCTGGATAAAAGAAAAGCAGAAAAAGAGGGGTTATAATAATGCATTTTTAATTTTAATAGTTAACAAGCATTATAAATTTAAAGTGAATTATCTTCGATTATTGTTATTTCTTATTACAACAATATTTCACGTTATTCATATTGATTATTCCTGAACAAAATACATTCAAAAAAGAATTTTTTAATACAGAATAACATGCGATTATATATTAATAAAGCATATAATCAAGTCATGTTGTAGATAATAACACACATTTTGTTACAAAATTACATGTCATGACTTGTAGTCACAGTAAACTTTCTTATTGCAAATGAAAATACACTGAAAACTAGTTCAAACACAGACATCTTTATATCATAATATAGCATATATATTTCAAAACATAAGGGAACAAAGCACTTAAATGACAACAAGAGGGCCATGAAACAACTGTTATAAGGTTTCCCGACTCTTGATTGTTTTTTCTCTATAGTAAATATAAGTGGTTACGCGGACGCCGACGCTCGGGTGACTGCAATAGCTCTACTTATTCTTATCGAATAGTCGAGCTAAAAATGATAGGAACCAAGTTTGGTGATCATCCATCCATTAATTTGTGATAAAATTTGCCTATGACTGTTTTTCAAAATTGCGATCTTTCTTCTTTTTTTTAATTATCTAAAAAATTAGATAATTATATAATCTCAGTATTTAGATATACATGTATACTGTTTGTCAGGATGACACCACCGGTCAATATTTATTTAAGAAAACATAGGTATACTAGTCAACATCAATAGAGATAATATCAGGGTTGTTCGGAAAGGAATCTGCTACATCAATTATGACATCATCACAAATTATGTCTACACTTCCATGCCATACACAAGCATTACCTGAAAATATATGGTATAAATGAAATTGTTTAACATATGCATGTACATTTTACAATAATAAATGTGAAAAGCTAAACACTAGGTGGCAATGAGTTTTTTTTTTTTCTTATGATAAGTATACGAAACAGTATTCTTCTCAAAGTGCTATTAATGATCCTGACACTATTAGTTAATAACATTCTGTAGCAGTGTTCATAATGAGGTTGCACATCAAAAACCTTATATCTCTTGTTGTAGAGCAAAAGCATTGTAGAACAAAAACAATGACCTTGTCAGAAAAGGAACTACTATTGTAAAATGTGACTAAGTTTAATCAAAAGCAATGAAAACAAGCAATGAAAACAAGCGTCGGCATGAATGTAACTGAAGTTTTTTCATGACATGACCTAGTGACCTAGTTTTGAATTTGTCATAGATATCTTCAAGGTAAACATTGCAATACAGTTTGAAGAAGATAGGTGCAAAAAGGTCCCTCTAAAGTGCTTGAGGGATGTTGTCAGTTGACACAAGCACTTAAATACTGTGGACAACAAACACCAGGGACTGATCATAAAATCTTACTATGGTCACCATTGTGACAGATGAGCATAAAATACATCCAGTATCTTAAAAACAAGAGGGCCATGATGGCCCTGAAATCGCTCACCTGTATATAGGCCCCTGCGCCAAGGCCAATTTTAAACCAGGGGCTTTTATAGACACCCATTAGAAGATGTTTCATGATAAATATCAAAGCTCTAGTTCTTTGGGGTTTTTATAAGAAGTTTTTTTTTTTAAGTTTTATACTATAAACATATAGGGAAAAACTGGGAGGTGCCAATTTTGACCCGAAGGCACTTATTTGAACAAACTTGGTAGACGTTCACTAGAACATTTTTCATGCTTGGTATCTAAACTCTACCTTTTTGGGTGTTTTATAAGAAGATTTTTTTAAGTTTCTACTATATACATAAAGGGAATAACAATGACCCATTGGGGTGGAGCCAATTTTGACCCTAGGGCTTTTATTTGACCAACTTGGTAGACACCCACTAGAAAATGCTTTATATCTAAGCTCTAGCTATTTTGATTTTTGAAAAGAAGATTTTTTAAGTTTTTACTATATACAAATAAGGCAAATCAATGACCCCCTGGTGCTGGACCAATTTTTACCCCAGGGCTTTTATTTGAACAAACTTGGTAGACACCCACTAGAAGATGTTTTATGCTTAATATCTAAGCTCCAGCTACTTGGGTTTTTAAAAAAAAAATTTTTTAAGTTTTTACTATATACAAATAAGGAAAATCAATGGCCCCCTGGGGCAGGGCCAATTTTGACCCTAGGGCATTTATTTGAACAAACTTGCTAGACACTGACTAGATGATGTTTCATGCCAAATATTAAAGCTCTAGTGCTTACGGTTTTCTAAAAGAAGATAATTTAAGTTTTTTCTTTCTGACAGTTGCCATGGCAACCAGAGTTCTGCTTGAAATTAAATTCTTTAAACTACAAAGGAACATTCCTGTGTAATTTGGATGAAATTGGCTTAGTGGTTTATGAGGATATGTCGTTAAAAATAAAAGTTTACGTATGTACCACGGACGGACGCCAGATGAAAAGCGATCACAAAAGCTCACCATGTCACTTTGTGACAGGTGAGTTAACAAGGCTTTTCTCAAAATCTGACACCATGACCAGTTAGTTTTAATTATATGGCCCATATACTAAATAAACTCAGAATTTATTAAAATAAATAGTGTAACCAATTTCTGTTGAAATCTAATTACTCTGATGCTCTGATTTTTTGAGGTTGTCAGAATTAAAAATTTAAGCCCTTTACTTACAAAAATATAAATGTTTTAAATAAATATCAACCTTTTTACCTGCTGACACTTCAAGTGAATAGCCTTTTTGATCAGTATAGAGCCAGGCAAGTCTGCACAGCTGGGAAGTCTGACGAGGTTGTATACTGTTGGTAGCTAAGTTTGATATTAAAATCCCTTATCCTTGGAATGGACTGTCCCAAATTTAAAGATGAGCAAATCCATTCCATAAATTTAGCACTTTATAGTGCATTGGTCAATGTTGTGGGTAAATTGCAGTACCATGCTATTTTTTTACTTACCAAGACTTGTGTCTCCAAAATTTATCTGTGTTCCACAGTTACAGGGGCAGTTTTTCAATTTGGAGTACCCGTCATCATTTAGTGTTGCATCCTTTACAGGTGAAAGTTTCTTCAATAAATGTGCACTTAGAACACTTGACCATTCTAACTCACTTGTACTTTGGTCCTCAGCATATTTCTCTACAACTTCTCGTTTAAGATCGAATTCTGAAGAAGGAAAAAAGTGCATGAGTCTCACAAGTTGGCAGAAGACTTTATCACTCATCTTCTGTTAACACTTGAGCTAGAGTCGTTAGATAACATACAAGTGATGGTAATTCTAAACCAGCAAATACAGTATACAAAATTACATAGTTCTGGATAATCTATTGTAAAAGATGATGATCATGAACATATTTCCATCTTCATTTTATTTCTAAATAAGTCCAATTGATGAATTTTTCAAGATAAATCAGTGTGAATATTGAATTTGCATTGTATATAGAATATTATTTTAAGTAAAACATATATCTAACAAGAGCTCTGCATGCGGCATTACAGCTTTATTCCAGGATTTTGGGAACATGACCCGTACCCATGTTTTGTGAAATGTTGGGAAAAAATGCATGACTTTACTTTTGCAGTGATTAAATGAATGCAAAGAGTCACTGTCTAGGATGGCATCTTCAAACATTTATTAAAAGCACCATAACAGTGAAAAAAAAACTTATTTTCAAAGATTTTAGAATCTATTGTTCAATATTTATATTTCCTACTTTCAATTTGGAATTTTTTCCTGGGAATTTTTTCCTATGCATTCTTTCCTGCGGATAATATACTATTTTCAAATTGGAATATGACCGTATATCAGCTAGAAAATAAGCCAAAAAGATCCCTGCTTTAATTTGTCGGTGCAAAAACTGTCAATAACCAATTTTCATCAAAAGTCAAGTTAAAAGGGACATAACTTCTAAACATATTGATAAAATAATGTCCCAAGTCATAGAAGTGTTCATTTATCATAATTATCAAGCATTCCAAGTTTCATGTAGATATCTTTAAATTGATGAGTTATGAAATAATTCAAGTCAATAAGCAATTTTGACAAAAAGATTTAAGTTAAAAAGGGCCATAACTCCAAAATTAAAGCTTTCAGAAATATACCCCTTGTCTTATAATTTCGCCTTGTCATGATGAACAAGTATTCCAAGTTTCATGTTTGAGTACATTGTGTAAATGTACCTTTATCAAAATGTTTGAGTAATTGGCTTCATTAATGTTTTGGCACGAGGAACACTACAACGCAGCATTCATAATAGGTAGACTTTACATTCTAAACAACAATCAAGCTTAAAATCATCATTTATCAATTATGTGAATATTGATGTGTATCTTATTAATCATTGCATGTCATCTCATTTTTTTATTCATTTATAACTGTATGTTTTTCTTGCATATATTTCAATTTATTTCCAAGTGGTTACTCCATTGCAGGAGAGTCACAGCATTTTTTTGTTTTATTTCATTGTTATCCAAACAAGAACTGTCAGAGGACAGTAACACTCGACTATTCGAAAAGTTATCACAAGAGTGTTTCATCAAGTATAATAATGCTTACCTACTTAAATACATAAAATTGTCCAAAAAAGGTCCAAATCGGGGCATAATTATGAAAAAATACAAATCAAGAGTAATGGGACTTGTGCCAATCATGTAAGATAATCACAGAGAACAAGTGTGTGAAGTTTCAATCCATTCCCTTCAGTAGTTATGGATACACAAGCTTACACGCAAAAGCTTAACCAAGGATTTATGGAGATACATGTACCAGCTTATACGCAAAAACTTAAAGGATTTCTAAGTCGCAAAAAGGGAATTATTATGCAAAAAAAGCAAATCAGAGTTATGGGACTTGTGCCAATCATGTTAGATAATCACAGAGAACAATTGTGTGAAGTTTCAATCAATTCCCTTCAGTAGTTATGGAGATACCAGCTTATACGCAAAAACTTAACCAAGGATTTCTAAGTCGAACTAGAACTCCGCGAGTAGGATGTGTCGCCTTGTGAACAATGTAGTTTAGGGGAAATGGCCAGGACAAAAATGAAATATGAAAAATAACAAAGGGCAATAACTAAAAAAATAATAAGTGCAGAGCAGCAGTTTCTGTACACTGCACTTCTTATCAATAAGATCTATCATTCTATGATGTTTCAAGTCCATAGCTTTCATACTTGAGGAGAAATGACCAGGACAAAAATAAAGTAAGTAAATCAACAAAGAGCAATAACTCAAAAATAAGAAATGCAGAGTATCAGTTCTTATGCACTGCACTTCTTTTTAATGAGATCTATCATCCTATGAAGTTTCAAGTCCATAACTTTTATACTTTCGGAGAAATGGCCTGGACAAAAATTAAGTATGAAAATTAACAAAGGGCCATAACTCAAAAATTTAGAAATGCAGAGTACCGATTCTTGTGCACTGCACTTCTTAATAATGAGATCTATCATCCTATGAAGTTTCAAGTCCATAGCTTTTATACTTTCGGAGAAATGGCCCGGACAAAATTAAAGTATGAAAATAAACAAAGGGCAATAACTCAAAAATTAAGAAATGCAGAGTACCAGTTCTTGTGCACTGCACTTCTTCTTAATGAGACCTATCATCCTATGAAGTTTCAAGTCCATGGCTTTTATACATTAGGAGAAATGGCCCGGACAAAAATAAAGTATGAAAATTAACAAAGGGCAATAACTCAAAAATTAGGAAGTGCAGAGTACTGGTTCTTGTGCACTGCACTTCTTAATAATGAGACCTATCATCCTATGAAGTTTCAAGTCCATGGCTTTTATACATTAGGAGAAATGGCCCGGACAAAAATAAAGTATGAAAATTAACAAAGGGCAATAACTCAAAAATTAGGAAGTGCAGAGTACTGGTTCTTGTGCACTGCACTTCTTAATAATGAGATCTATCATCCTATGAAGTTTCAAGTCCATAGCTTTTTTAGTTGAAGAGAAATGGCCCGGACAAAATTAAAGTATGAAAATAAACAAAGGGCAATAACTCAAAAAATAAGAACTGCAGAGTACCGGTCCTTGTGCACTGCACTTCGGGTTATTGAAAGAAGCATGCATACCAAGTTTGATGTCAATCAGACTTATAGTGACTGACTTATGCTCCGGACAAGCTTTAGGGGACGCCGACAACGACGCCGACACAGACGCCGCCGCCGACACCGCCGACAAAAGTAACCCCTATATGTCACCTTTTCAAGGCGACACAAAAAGGAGCATAATTATGCAAAAAAGTAAATCAGAGTTATGGGACTTGTGCTAATCACGTTAGATAATCACAGAGAAAAAGTGAGTGAAGTTTCAATCCATTCCCTTCAGTAGTTATGGAGATACCAGCTTACACGCAAAAACTTAACCACTAGGACGCCGACGCCAACAAATGGGACTGCATTTGTCCTATTATTCTGAAAATAGTCGAGCTAAAAAGGCAAAAAAAATACTTATGGCTATCACATGCTATTTAGGTGGAAAATTGTGTTTAGCTAGTTTTTCATGAAGATTTTGTCGATATTTGTCAACTGTTTCAATATATCGTCAATATGCTTTGCACTGAATGAATGACAGCTCTACTTATCATATGATTATTTCATAAAAAGTGCAAATGTTCTCAAATCTATGCATATTGGGACAAATTATAACTCAAGTTGTATTCATCAGTAGGGCGAATTGACAGTGGGGCGAATCAACATCCGTATCACCAAATGTATTACAATGTCATACCTGAAAGGTATCTTGCAAGTAACGTTAATGAGTAAAGAACTGACTTCCTTTTCCTAGCTCCAAGTTCATCGGGCAACACTCCTTTCTCGATGACGTGTTTTAATAGCGAGCTCGACGAGCTGGCCCGAAGGGCCTGCTCGCAAAGCGAGCTTTACGGTAACGCGAGTACCTGCTAAGTGATGGTTTTGAAAACATTCGTCCAAAGTACCGAATTGGACACATCGCAACCTTTCGAATTTAAAGATAACGGTAAAAACTGAGGAATTCTGACTGAAAACGGATGTGTAGACTGGTCACACGCGCACGTCTATGGGAACCATAATTGGACAAGGAACCAGAATAACGGAAGCTGTGTATAAAAAATGAAAATCGAAGGCGCCATTTTGTTTGAAATCTGATAAATAAAAACAATTTTTTGTCGAATTTTGTTGTGAAAACTATCTAGAATGAAAGAAAATGGTCTAACTAAGAAAATGAATCCGAACACCAATATCTTTTATTCAGTCGTTAACGCTGTACAGACGTTTAAAATATTGTTTACATGACGTCACAATGTAGCGCCAAACAGCACGTGCAAAACAAACAAATCAAGTAGCTATTTTAATGTCGCAAACGTGTTAAGTTTTACATTTATTTCACTTACAATAATCTTTATTTCGCTTGAAAAATTATAAAGTGAAATAAAATAAACAAAGTTTTATCAACAATTTCAAAACTCGTAATTCATTTCACGACAGGGACGGGGCCATATTTAACACAGTACGTGTGACGTCACACGCACTCGTCACTGCATTTCAGATAATTTCATACTATTTCACGTAAAAAGTACATCGAGCTCGCTTTGAGGCTTTGCCTTTTTCATATTATTTCAATTTTAAACAAGGTTCCGGTCCTACTAAACACTGCTAAGGACCGCTAAGGACTGCTAAGGACCGCTAAGGACTGCTAAGGAGCCACAAAGGACTACTAAAGAGGCACAAAGGACCTTAAAATACCACCTAGGCCATTCTTATATTACATGGTATTATTTTTAGTGAAAAAAAAAAATAATTTTAAGAAAAAATATGATTTTGGTGAAAATTTTATGAGTTGTCGGACCGCTAAGGACTGCTCAGATACACAAAAGACTGCTAGGGAGGCACAAAGGACCTTAAAATACCTCCTAGGGCATTCTTATAATACAAGGTAGTATGTTTAGTGACAAAAAATGTATTATTTTAAGAAAAAATATCATTTTAGTGATAAAATTTATGTTTTTGAAGAGTTGTCGGACCGCTAAGGACTGCTCAGGTGCACTAACAACTGCTAGGGAGGCACAAAGGACCTTCAAATCCCTCCTAGAACATTCTTATACTATATGGTAGTAAGTAAATAGACAAAAATGTATTATTGTAAGAAAAAATATAATTTTGGTGATAGAATTTATGCTTTCGATGAGTTGCCAGACCGCTAAGGACTGCTCAGGTGCGAAAAGGACTGTAGGCAGGCACAAAGACCTATAAATATTTCCTAGGGAAGCACAAAGGACCTTAAAATAACTGTTGGGGCATTCTTATAATTCATGGTAGTATGTTTAGTGACAAAAAATGTATAATTTTAAGAAAAAATATCATTTTAGTGATAAAATTCATGTTTTTGAAGAGTTGTCGGACCGCTAAGGACTGCTCAGGTGCACTAACAACTGCTAGGGAGGCACAAAGGACCTTCAAATCCCTCCTAGAACATTCTTATACTATATGGTAGTAAGTTAATAGACAAAAATGTATTATTGTAAGAAAAAATATAATTTTGGTGATAGAATTTATGCTTTCGATGAGTTGCCAGACCGCTAAGGACTGCTCGGGTGCGAAAAGGACTGCTAGGCAGGCACAAAGACCTATAAATATTCCCTAGGGAGGCACAAAGGACCTTAAAATACCTGTAAGGGCATTCTTATAATACATGGTAGTATGTTTAGTGATAAAAAATGTATAATTTTAAGGAAATATATCATTATAGTGATAAAATTTATGTTTTTGAAGAGTTGTCGGACCGCTAAGGACTGCTCAGGTGCACTAACAACTGCTAGGGAGGCACAAAGGACCTTCAAATCCCTCCTAGAACATTCTTATACTATATGGTAGTAAGTAAATAGACAAAAATGTATTATTGTAAGAAAAAATATAATTTTGGTGATAGAATTTATGCTTTCGATGAGTTGCCAGACCGCTAAGGACTGCTCGGGTGCGAAAAGTATTGCTAGGCAGGCACAAAGACCTATAAATACTTCCTAGGGAGGCACAAAGGACCTTAAAAGAACTGTTGGGGCATTCTTTTAACTCATGGTAGTATGTTTAGTGACAAAAAATGTATAATTTTAAGAAAAAATATCATTTTAGTGATAAAATTCATGTTTTTGAAGAGTTGTCGGACCGCTAAGGACTGCTCAGGTGCACTAACAACTGCTAGGGAGGCACAAAGGACTTTCAAATCCCTCCTAGAACATTCTTATAATATATGGTAGTAAGTTAATAGACAAAAATGTATTATTGTAAGAAAAAAATATAATTTTGGTTATAGAATTTATGCTTTCGATGAGTTGCAGGACCGCTAAGGACTGCTCAGGTGCGAAAAGGACTGTAGGCAGGCACAAAGACCTATAAATATTTCCTAGGGAGGCACAAAGGACCTTAAAATAACTGTTGGGGCATTCTTATAATTCATGGTAGTATGTTTAGTGACAAAAAATGTATAATTTTAAGAAAAAATATCATTTTAGTGATAAAATTCATGTTTTTGAAGAGTTGTCGGACCGCTAAGGACTGCTCAGGTGCACTAACAACTGCTAGGGAGGCACAAAGGACCTTCAAATCCCTCCTAGAACATTCTTATTATATATAGTAGTAAGTTAATAGACAAAAATGTATTATTGTAAGAAAAAAATATAATTTTGGTGATAGAATTTATGCTTTTGATGAGTTGCAGGACCGCTAAGGACTGCTCAGGTGCGAAAAGGTCTGCTAGGGACCTTAAAATATTTCCTAAGGAGGCACAAAGGACCTTAAAAAACCTGTAAGGGCATTCTTATAATACATGGTAGTATGTTTAGTGATAAAAAATGTATAATTTTAAGGAAAAATATCATTATAGTGATAAAATTCATGTTTTTGAAGAGTTGTCGGACCGCTAAGGACTGCTCAGGTGCACTAACAACTGCTAGGGAGGCACAAAGTAGTGTTGGGTATCGGACACAAAAATCACTATCGATAATCGGATCACCACAATCGATTGTCTTCCGATAGTGTAATCGAGTTTTGCATATTTTTTTTGGCCCTTTTTCTTTTAAGGTACCAATCCTTGTATGTATTTTTTATACCGTAGTGACCATATTTTGAGAATAAATAAGCTCTTGTCTCCTTGATTAAAGTAAGATTTTCTCTTTGAATTCAAAACAAACAACACAAATACCTAATACTTCTTTGTGACAGGCGAAGATGAATTTGCTTTGATCTTCAGGAATCAAAGCTGTTCAAATTGCCCACTTATTCACAAGCCATGTTTTTTTCTGTATTTCTTTTTTGATAAGGCAAACAAAAAAGACTATAGGATCCTCTGGAATTAAAGAGATTTGGTCGGGATACTTCTATTTGACTCTGTGTAAAAAAGTAACGCCCTAGGCAATTCAGGGGTGGAAGAACATTAAAATAATCAATTGTTAAAAAGGACTATCGATTGTTGCCGATTTTTGGGTGATCCGATTAGTTATTGATTTTCAGAGACAATCGGGACAACACTAGCACAAAGGACCTTCAAATCCCTCCTAGAACATTCTTATAATATATGGTAGTAAGTTAATAGACAAAAATGTATTATTGTAAGAAAAAAATATAATTTTGGCGATAGAGTTTATGCTTTTGATGAGTTGCAGGACCGCTAAGGACTGCTCAGGTGCGAAAAGGACTGCTAGGCAGGCACAAAGACCTATAAATATTTCCTAGGGAGGCACAAAGGACCTTAAAATAACTGTTGGGGCATTCTTATAATTCATGGTAGTATGTTTAGTGACAAAAAAATGTATAATTTTAAGAAAAAATATCATTTTAGTGATAAAATGCATGTTTTTGAAGAGTTGTCGGACCGCTAAGGACTGCTCAGGTGCACTAACAACTGCTAGGGAGGCACAAAGGACCTTAAAATACCAGTAAGGGCATTCTTATAATACATGGTAGTATGTTTAGTGATAAAAAATGTATAATTTTAAGGAAATATATCATTATAGTGATAAAATTCATGTTTTTGAAGAGTTGTCGGACCGCTAAGGACTGCTCAGGTGCACTAACAACTGCTAGGGAGGCACAAAGGACCTTCAAATCCCTCCTAGAACATTCTTATAATATATGGTAGTAAGTTAATAGACAAAAATGTATTATTGTAAGAAAAAAATATAATTTTGGCGATAGAGTTTATGCTTTCGATGAGTTGCAGGACCGCTAAGGACTGCTCAGGTGCGAAAAGGACTGCTAGGCAGGCACAAAGACCTATAAATATTTCCTAGGCAGGCACAAAGGACCTTAAAATAACTGTTGGGGCATTCTTATAATTCATGGTAGTATGTTTAGTGACAAAAAAATGTATAATTTTAAGAAAAAATATCATTTTAATGATAAAATGCATGTTTTTGAAGAGTTGTCGGACCGCTAAGGACTGCTCAGGTGCACTAACAACTGCTAGGGAGGCACAAAGGACCTTCAAATCCCTCCTAGAACATTCTTATAATATATAGTAGTAAGTTAATAGACAACAAGAGCTGTCTGTAGGACAGCACGCTCGACTATTCTAAGTGCTTGATAGTAAAAGAGCCTTGATAATGTTAAATTTTTTAAGTTTACAAAAGGGCTAATTCTTTTTTATAAATTCTTGTTATAGGCCTCAGAGAGAGTCTTATTAAACAGTATTGGCTTGACTATTCGGAAGGTAATGTCACAAGGGTGTTTTATTGAGTATAATAATACTAATTACCTATGAATACATAAATTTGACAGAAAAGGTACAAAGGCTTATTATTAAGATGTTTTATCAAGTAAATCACTGCTTAATTATTATGAATGCATAAAATTGTCCCAAAAAAGGCACAAACCCTTTCGTAGTTATTGAGATAACAGCTTACAAATGAATTTCTAAGTTGAAAAAGGGGAGAAAAATCAGCCTAAATGCAAGATAGAATTATGGATCTTTGTCAGTGACCTACAATTATGACCCTAAATGCATATGTGAAGTTTTAAATAAATATCTTTAATAGTTATTGAGATATGTAAAACTTGCATGTAAACATTAACCAAGAGACTAAGTAGAAAAGGGGATATGAATCAGCCTTAATGCAAGATAGAGTTATGGAACTTGGTCAGTGACATACAATTATGACCCTCCAATTTCCAATTATGACCCTAAGTGCATGTGTAAAGTTTCAAGTAAATATCTTTGAAGACCTTTAACCTTTAACCAAAATTTCTAAGTTTCAAAGGGGCAAATAATTCTGCAAATATTGCAGGCAGAGTTATGCAATTTTTGCAAACTGATGTACATTGTTACTATAAAAGAGTATTTTTA